GATACACGTAGATGACGCGTGGTAAGAGAGGTCGTGACGAGCGCGCCGTAAGAACGCGGTATAATCGCACAGGTCGCGGCAAGAACGCGACTTTTTTCGAGTTAGTAATTTTTTTGAGACATTCCTCGCGTTGTGTTCACACGTTTGCCGGCGACCTTGTGCATTTTCTGGTCGCCGTACCGCAGTAAGGACGCCAAACCGGTCTGACGGGGGCTTAAAGACATTTATTCACATGACAAGCCTATAATCAACTTTCAAGATCGTTGAATGGTTGATTTAATTTAAAAATGGCGAATTGAGGCCAAGTCTTGTTATGATAATAAACAATCTATGCCTTGTCTTAAGACTACAAACAGTCATAACTTTGCTCATTTTTAAATAATTTGAATGGAATTTTCAATATATTTATTTTGCATTATCTATTTTTGAAGTAGTATAGCTTTTGAACGGTCAACTCTTTATCTAAATCTTACATAATGCTTCCCACAACAGTTTTAATGCATTTATTTTATGTCGCGATTAAGTGCATATTTTACATTTCCTGAACACAGATACTCTTTAGTTGCATTGTAAACATTACTATAAAGTGTCTGTAACTATGACAATATCTTTACAACAAATATTTTCACAATGTGCATTTTATAACATACGCTATATTAACCCACAAATCAAATTCCCTGGTCTCTGCTTATGATATGCTAGTAAATCAATCTGAAACTTGGCTAATTTTTTTCAGTAAACTTAAACCAAACTCTATGGACTAATTCACTGATGTCTGCTCATCATCAGTTAACAAATCTGGAACTCAACCAGAGATTTTCTGTAAACTTAGACCATACTCTATTATAATATCAAACATGGAAATGATGCGTGACTTAGCTACACTATTCAAAAAAAGTAGGGGATATTTGATTTTTAAGTGTTATTAAAGTCACCTAAGGAAACTGACGAAGAAACAAATGACAAAATGAAATGAAGTTCACATTCATCGATTTATTCCAAATGATCGTTAGACTAAGTAAGGCACAGACTGACCATTATAAGGGTAAAATGATACCCGGGGTCAAACAGCAAAGTTACCACAGCATCACAACCAAGTCAGTAACGGGTAAATCCTCCTCTGTTTGCCAAACAAGCATTGATCCGACGTGGCATACTCCTAATGAGACGTCTAAGGTCATTTTGGTCCAGATTGTCCCATTCCTGTTGCAACGCAGCAGCAAGTTCTTGGACATTGGCAGGACGTTGTTGACGTTGACGTAACCTCTGTCCAAGCATGTCCCAGACATGCTCGATGGGGAGAGGTCGGGACTCAGTGCTGGCCAAGGTAATGTGGTGATGTTCTGTTGTTGGAGGTAACCTGTAACGATCCTGGCCCTGTGACATCTTGCGTTGTCATCCTGGAAGATGAAACGGCGGCAATGACGTCGTGCGAACGGCAGAACATGGACTGCCAAGATGTTGTCCCGGTAGTACTGGATGGTAACACGCCCTGCAACAACATGTAAAGCCGTTCTTCCAGCAACAGTGATGCCTCCCCACACCATAACAGAACCACCCCCAAATCGTTCATGTCTGATGACGTTAACGTCTTGGAAGCGCTCGTTTCGACGACGCCCCACCCTCCTACGTCTGTCCAAAAAATCAACAGTGAACCTTGACTCATCTGAAAACATCACATTGCTCCAGCGTCGATTATCCCAGTGTTGACGATCCCTACACCAACGACGTCTTGCCTGTATGTGATGATCTCTCAAACAAGGGATCACGCGAGGACGTCGGGCGCGAAGGTGACCCCTATGCAGTCGATTCCGAATCGTCTGGCCACTCACTCTCACACCAGTGTCTGTTTGAAGACGAGCGCTGATCTGATTTGCTGTGATGACACGATTTTTCAAGGCCAAGGTACGGATAAATCGATCCTGGGCTTGAGTTGTCGCCCTTGGTCGACCTGAGCGTGGTCTGTCCTGTACAGATTGTGTATCACGGTATCTGGACCATAGCCTGCTTATGACAGACTGAGAAACATTCATCGTCCGCGCCACAACCGCCTGTGTTATGCCGATCTGTAGCATGCCAAGGGCACGTAACCTTTCATTTTGGGTAAGCCGACGCATATCAAAATTTGTTTTCTGGTCACTAAAACAATTAAACTGATGTTTCCACCCTGGAATTCAATGCCACAATGACTGTAACATTCAAAGTCAGAGTCGTGCAAATCTTGGGTTGGACCCCCATGATGATCCCAAGCATCACCTGCATTCCATGCGGTAGCTATTGGTGCGTTTGGGCGTCACATGTAACTGGAAATGTTTCTTCTGTTAGGTTCTATAGTGACTTTTTTCGTAGTCATTTGCATATTTTAGTATTATGCCCCCAAAATCAAATATCCCCTACTTTTTTTGAATAGTATATTACAAATATTCTTGCTTTATACTGAACATATATCAATCAATAAAAAGAATTATATAAAGTGCATCACACCCAAAATCCGAATGCATGTTGTGCACATCTCAGAACACTTAAAATTCCAGGAGTTTTCCAGGGTTATTTACCAGATTCCAGGAGTCCTTGTATAGAATTCTACATGAATGATGTATTTTTTTTACGCTTGGAGAACATTCACGGCCATGAACTCGTGAAAATTTTGGAGAAACATTCGATAACTACGTTAAGTTTTATATGTTAAAATATATAGCGAAACCTCAAATGTTAATTTTCCAGGAGTTTCAAGGAGTAATCTTGTTTTTCCAGTACTGGAAATAAAATTTTCAATTTTTCAGGATTTAAGGAGTTTCAAGGAGTTTCATCAAGGAGTATGAGAACCTTTGAATGTTTCAATCTGTCATGTTAATCTCTCATCTTTTGTAAAAAAATGAAACATGCATTGTACAATAAGAATTTAATTAAGAGACTTTACACAGTAGATTTTCAATCAATGCTAAAATATTAATATTTGTGTGTTGTGCCCTGTTTATCAAATAATACCCTCTAATACTGAAAACCAAGTCAGTTGTCAGAGTCATAGTGACTGGTTTTCAAATAAAATCAAACCAAGTACGAACAATCCAAACCATTAGACAAAATTCAAAGTCCTAAAAAAACGGTATAGGCAAAATAGTGTAATATGGCAAAATAGTGCAAGCAGCATATGTACAAAATACACGGCAAACAGTGGTAACAGGTGTCCGGAAGAGTAAGCTTACCCTGCCTGGCGCCACACCCGCCATAGCTGCATCCAAACTATGAGGCGAAATCTCGGTAAAATAGCGTGATTGGCCAATGGACTATCGGTATGCAAAATGCACGTGATGAACAGTGTTAACGATGTAGTAGACATACATCAGGGAGATTGTATACGCGTCAATTAAATATATCTAGAATAATAGACGAGAGAGACATGTTATATTTACCAATCAAGTCAATATGACGCCCATACAACTTTTTAAAGGTTTTAATAAGTTTAGTTCGCAAGTATCCCTGTAGTTGAAGCTTAGATGACAAATGCCTCGATCTACTTAAAAAATCATAATAAAATGAACAAGCTCTCGCGTAACGAATGAGTTGACACAAACACTCCATAAGCTGTTGATATTGGAATGTTACTACTAATAAATGGAAAGTTAACAATCGGAAAGTCAAAGTCATCACGTTTATCGTACAATTTAACACTGAAGTGTACACATTAGCCGTGTCGAGACCAACTTTCTGTAGAGTGCACGGGTCACCCGACCATAAGCTGGTGATATTGGAATGTTGCTACTAATCAATGCAAAGTTAACAACCGGAAAGTCAAAGTCATCACGTTTATCGTACAATTTATAAATTAAACGAGGCTTACCTGTAAGGTGAAGTTTGATTGTAATTCTGTCTTACTGTTGACGTCTGAGAGGTTATGTGAGATGCGCATGCCAAGAACCATATTTCAAAGAGTGAAAATGGTGACAAAGAAACAAGTCTAACAAACAAAATCAACCCAAGGGAGGGAAAAACAAAATCTCCTTTAATCCCCAAAACAATTAGGGTGGGCACATACCCTCTCAGACGTCAACAGTAAGACAGAATTACAATCAAACTTCACCTTACAGGTAAGCCTCGTTTAATTTATAAATTCTGTCTTACTGTATGACGTCATATTCGAGTTTCAAAGTTGTCACCATAGGACACAATTTAGGTCATTTTCAATAAATGAACACATTTTTAATATTTTAACTTTAATAGTTTAAACAATAGCACAGTTAAACATTCAACACAATGATTTTATGATCAATCAATTCAAGTTAACTTTTGATAACACCTTTAAGTATTTTGTCCGCGAATTCGCCTTCATCCATAATAGGTTTAGAGTCATACTTGCGAAAAGTTGAGTCATTAGACCAGCCAGCCGTTTTCAGAATTGTACTAATTGGTACTGAAGTTCTACGTGCAGCAGAAGTAGCAGATGATCTAAAGGAATGAGGAACAAAAATAGAAACATCTACCCCTGCACTATTTAAAACAGTTTTTAGCCAGCGAGATAATGTATCTTTAGATATTTTTTTATACGGTTTAATGTAACTAATAAACAAATGACACTGTGCCACTGAATTCAGTAGTTCTTTTTATATATTCACAATACACAGTTGGTAAACACAATCTCCTATCAGGTGCAAAACCTTTAAAACAGAATTCACTTTGATGGAAGCCAGGTCTGGATTGTTTAATAATATCCCCAATTCTTATTTTAATTCTGTTCAGATTACAATCAATGTTTTTAATGTTCAGTAAGTGAAGTGATTGAATTCTGTCCCGATAAAATTGCCAATAAGGCTACCAGTTTAAATGATAAAAGCTTCAGGGAAAGCTTATTAACAGGTGAAAGTTTCAACAAATATCTGAGCACAATATTACAATCATAAGTTAAATTATTTCGCGGTAGAGCAGGACGTAAATTAAATACTCCCCGGAAAAAAATGTTTGATTATAGGTAAAGTTCCAATCGATTTTCCATCCATAAAAATAAAACTAGATAAAGCACTTCTTGTGCAATTTAACGAACTATAACTTAGTCCTTTATGAAATAAGAAAGTCAAATATTCAATAATCTCTTCTATAGAGGGAGAAAACGGATCCACAGATCTTTGAGTGCAATGCCGGAACCATTGCTTAATGTGGCTAGAGTATTGGTCCTTTGTGGAATCTCTCCATGAGGATAACAAAATGTCTTTTAGCCTGTTTTGAAAATCTGTCTGTAGAGCTACCTTGCCCGACACCATAACAGCTAGTAACTTCATTTTGGGCAACTCCCTGACCTGCCTGGTAGGATGAGTTAAAACATCTTCGGCCCTAGGTAAAATAAAAGGAACATCTATTAAAAATCTAATTAATTTAGTAAACCAGTATTGAGTATGCCACCAAGGTATTATTAGAATACCAGTGGCTTGATCATGATTAATCTTAAACAACACTCTGCCAATCAAACAAAAAGGAGGGAAAGCATAGAAAAACTTATCCCAAGTGTAAGAAAACGCATTGATACCTATTGCAAAAGGGTCACATTTATAAGCATAATTTTCAACTTTAGCATTAATTCTGGAGGCAAATAAATCTACTTCTGGTAAACCCCAGAAATCAGTAATCTTAAAAAATACAGTTTGATTTAATTCCCATTCAGTGTTCTCATGTTCAATTCTGCTCTGCTTGTCAGCTTCAACATTATTCTTGCCTGCAATGTGACAGGCCTTTAGGTAAATATTTCTTTCAATACAAAACATAAAGATGTCTCTAGTAATATTGTTTAAATTTTCATGTTTACCTCCTAAAGAATCGATGTACGATACAGCAGTAGTGTTGTCAATCATTATCAAAATACAAATATCTTTCATGTCTCTACAAAAAGCAAATAAAACAAGCTTAGCAGCTAAAAGTTCTAAAGAATTTATGTGTAAAAGCACTTCCTCAGATGACCAACAACCACCTGTTACATTGCCATCAGGGTCGACTCCTCCCCAGGCTTTTTTTTAGAAGCATCACTTTTTAAAATATATGTAGGGTTTGCATTTTCAACATTGTTTACCCACCAATATAAATCTGACCTACAGTCCGAGGTCAAGGTAATTTTTGGTTCAAAATCACCATTAAATAGACTTAACATTTTGCTTTTGAGAATATCACATCTGCGATAATATATTTCGCCATAAAGAACTCCAGGAATTGCTGCTACCATTTGACCAATGACACCAGCAAATTGCCTTATAGTAATAAAGCGTTTATTTAATAATTCAATACATGCTCTTTTCAATTTTAGAGCTTTAGGAATAGTTAATCTTATATTCATGAATTTCGAATTTAAAATAAAGCCAAGGTAAGTAATTTCTTGAACTGGGTCAAGGACAGATTTCTCTGGGTGAATAAAACCAGCTTTTAGAGAAAACAAAACTGTGTCCCTAATATTGTTTTTTATATCATCAATGTCATCTCCAAACAATAAACAATCGTCAATAAAACAGTATTTAAATGCCCTAATTTTCTTAACTGTGAAAAGAAGACATTGGTAAGTTTGGTAAATAATCTGGGGGCTGGGCCCAAACCATTAGGTAAACAGCAATATTGATATATAACTCCATTCCAAATAAATCTAAGATTTCCTATACGGTTTTGAAATATTCAAAGCATGATAAGCATTAGACCAGTCTATTGAGGCCATGAAACAATTTTCAGACATAAGGTTTATTGCATGTGATAAAGTATCCATTTTAAAATGCTGATAATCTATATTGTCATTTAATTCCTTAAGGTCCAAAATAATTCTAAGAGATCCATTTTTCTTTTCCTTTGTAAAAATATTAGAAATAAATTGCCCTTCTTCAAATTTGGCTTTCTCAATGATTTCTTTTCTCAGTAAATTTTCAATTTCAGCAGTAATCAAATTAGACTTCTCTTCAGAGAATTTATAAGGAATAGGAATTATGCAATCAAGTGCAATTTTAGAATTTAACTCGATATCAATACCACAAACTAATTTTAATATATGTATGTCTGACGTGAGAGACTTCCAGAAATCTAAATGAAATCTGAGTCCACCAGCTTTAAAGTTGTTTATAAGTGTAGATAAAATTTTATCTAACTCACTTCGAAATTTGTCCCATGAAAAAGATTCTAATTTACCGGTACTCACCACATGAATCATATTTATTTTTTCTCTGTTGGGTACTTCTTGTTCGGGACTGTAACTTGAGTTTCTCTGATAGCTTGCAGGCTTTTTGCTTTTGTAGCGGTACTGGTTTTGAGGCGGCCTCCTGAAAGCTTTGTTGCCTTGATATAAAAAAGGCTTGGAGTTGTTGGCGTATCTGTTATTCTTATATAAACGATAAGTACTAGTAACTGAGTGACCAACTTGATTTGTTTCCTTAATGTCTTTTACTCGTTTACTAAGATCATCTCCGAATAATAGTTTGCTACCTCTAACATCTGTATTATGTGAAGGGTGACATAGTTTTTTGTATTGGTAATTTAAATCCACCTTCATGGCATCACGTCTTGATTGATTAAGTTCCTGTACAGAGTGACCTAGCAACGACAATACATCCAAATTTTAACTTGAATTGACAGTTGGGGTTTAGTACTGTCCTTCTGCTCAGTTTTTCTTGAGTTCAATAAAATATCCACAAGCCCCATAAGGGCATACGAGTATTTGAGGAGCTTTCATTCAGTTTAAAAGATTCCATGTCTTTAAACTGAGTATCTCTTTAGATGATTCCAAATTTCAGAGTTGACTTTCTGTGGGTGAATTTCTAAATTTGCAGGTCTGAAATGTCTTTCTAGAATTTCTTTTAATCTTTCATCTGACAATTTTGAATTAAACAGCTGTTTAATTATCCCCGATATTTTGTCCGGCAATACATTGCAATAAAATATCCACAGGCCCCATAAGGGCATACGAGCATTTGAGGAGCTTTTCATTCAGTTTAAAAGATTCCATGTCTTTAAACTGAGTATCTCTTTAGATGATTCCAAATTTCAGAGTTGACTTTCTGTGGGTGAATTTCTAAATTTGCAGGTCTGAAATGTCTTTCTAGAATTTCTTTTAATCTGACAATTTTGAATTAAACAGCTGTTTAATTATCCCCGATATTTTGTCCGGCAATACATTGCCCACTTTATCAGTGACAGAGTATTCTTGTTCTAACGAATCTTCAAATTTATCAATTTCATCTACTTCCATAAGTTCTAATTCAATCTCATTCTCAGTATTGTTGTCCGACTTGGATTTTTTATTTTCCTCTTGTTCATGATTCAGTAAATCGTTAATTTGTTGGTCAATATTCATATCATTCCCCCCCCCCCCTTCTTCAAAATTCTAGGAATTTTGTACCGTTTTTGAGTGGCAGGAATATCCGAATCAGAATCGGAGAACGGTTCATCGTCAGAAACTGATAAAGAATGGACTCGCTTCCGGTCATCAACAGGTCTTTTGTTTACATCAGAAGTTTCTGGTTGTCGTAAACTCGCAAAAGAATTTGCAATCAGAAGTTGAAGTTCTTCGAACGATTTTCGATGCATGTCATTCATTTCAGCTTTAAATTCTTCAAAAGATTGAGACTTAGATGCACTAAGTCTAGCAGTTTTGTCAAGTTGTGACGCAATTATTTCATCTTTCTTAGAGCCAGAGGAGACGGACGTCAGTGACGACGAAGCAGACCGATTACTTTGCCGATTTTTAGCAGTCACTTGACTGGTATCACTGGACGTGCTAGGAGTAGCGAATTCGGCACCGATGGCCTTACAACTAATTTTAGTACTGCCCTCAATAGTTTTGGAAGGTTTTCTTCCTTTTTCTTTGTTGTCAAAGAGGACACTAGCCAGGTCAAAGCTAGTACTACTACTAGTGGCAGTGGCATTTTTCTTCGAGTCCGCCATTTTGTTAACTTCAACTTGGCCTCGTGGCTCGTGTCTCACAACTGGGTAGGCCCGAAAAAAGTTCTTTTGGGGCAGATAAATAGTCTAAAAAGACTAAAAAGCTTTTATTAAGCAAATTGAACTAATCTAGTTAAGGAAAAATTGACCAGAAAGGGTCATAAGACAGTCGAATCTCTGTAAAATCGAGCGACTGAAAAATACGTGTTCTCTCTTCGATGGTTGACACGCTAATGATGGTTCTTGGCATGCGCATCTCATATGACCTCGAATATGACGTCATACAGTAAGACAGAATTTAACACTTAGTTTATGGCAATTGTCAAAATCGAGACGCAGATCCAAGTAGGAAGCGTAATTGTCACTGTCAGTAGTGTTTTTAATTTCGAGCTCATCTGGATATGAATTCTACATAATCACTAAAGTTTGGATTATTCAGTGATAGAACATCATCGATATATCGATAAGTCAAATTAAAATGTCTGACTAATCGTTTATTTGATTTTAAAAGTGCCTGTATGTAATCGGCTTCGTAGGAATAGAGAAACAAATCAGCAAGGGAAGGTACAGTTGGTGCCCATGGGGATACCTACCACTTGCTAATAAATTTCCCCTCCAAATTTAATAAAGATATTATCAATTAAAACATCCAACATCTGAATTATCTTGTTGGTGGTGAATTTATTTTTGGAATCACTATGGTTCTTAACAAAATATGTGGAATTGTAATTAACAACTAAATATTGATATCTAACATTTCCTGATTTAGATGAAAAGACACTGTAAATAATGTCTTTTAACCGAGCTTTGAATTTACTATGGAGAATTTTAGTGTACAGTGAGATGAAAGAAAACAAGGGCAAATCCAGCTAATGATCAAAAAATAAATAAACAGATCCAATAGAATATATTGTTATCAAAGATTTACTGTGTCTGAAAATGCATTAAAAACGGTATATACAGGTATCAGTTCAACCGAATTCAATATTTGAAAAGCACGTGACTACTACTTTAATTTGGACCTCTGCAGATTTCACACCCTGTATGAGACAGCTTTTACAATACACACTGTAATCCAGGTATCATTTAATCTTGTGTATCTTTCTCATTCGTTTAATATCAAAACTTTGTTTAAAAATTCGTAAAAATGACTTGTTGATCAAAATTAGACATAAATATAAAACGGGGCTATTAAGAGCTAATCTGTGGAGATCATATGGAAATGCAATTCTTAAACTTGGCCACCATGAAGAATTAATTTATGTATGTATTAAAATGAAACATCTTACACCAGCTTGAACTATGCCTAATATATTTGATTTTAAACGAAAATGTCATTTACCCTTTGTATAGCTTTGCAACAAATTTATCGATATGAATAATCGGACTACACAGTTATATTTTGATAAATGCTCAAGATATAATGAATCAAGTAAAATCCGTATTTATTCCGTTCTTCGTTTCATTTGATCAAAAACAAAATTAGGCAAAGGTATTAGTTGCAGAAAATGAGAAACCAATAAAATCTTGCGTAACAAAGATGAACAAATTTCATTAAATTGCACCAATGAAAGGATTAGTATAATAAAGTAAAGTCCTATTGTGTTCCAGTGCCTTGATGGTTGAATCTAAGTTGCGGTTCCAGACATTATAGATAGACATAACTTCAATGAATCTGTCATTTTCAGGTGGTTGCCTCAGGTCACTCTCAGTGGGCCTGGATCAATTAAACTATTTAAAGTAAAACCATATTTATAGTGAAGTGGACATTGTGGCGTCTGGTGGACACTAGCCATTAAGATTTGAAATAGAATCATCATGACATGGAAGGTAAACAGCAATTTATAAATACTGGAATTTTACTATTAAACATACATTATGGGAAATTAGATAAAGAGCTGACAGTTCTCACTATAATAGTTAAAGATAGGTTGCCAGGCAACGAAACATACGCCCACAGCAGCTATATCGTCCGGGCAGTCAAGAGTTGTCGCATATTTTTACTTTTCGGTGATGAAACATTTATAATACATTAAAATCTGATTAAGAGTAACAACTCTTTAAGTAATTATCAGAAAACCATTAGAATTTATTTGGTTTTTATAAAGTTCTGCCCCATGCTAACGCTCAGTATACAAAACTTTTAATATCATGGATTTAGCTGTTCAAGTCATAAAGATTTATTGATAATCAATATAATTTTTCGTCTCAAGACCTTAAACTCTGTATTGTAACGGTTCCGTTCCCTCCTAGTCGTGAAGGTTGGTGATCCTGTTCGCAGCGCCATCTAAAGGCTTAGGGTTTGTGGTCCTGTTGGCAGCGCCATCTAATTATTTAATTCTCCCTGCCCTTTCTCCGTTCCGTGACGTTATCATGACGTTGCGTTCCCGCGCATAACGCCTAAGTAACTTGAAAGACGAATTGTAAGTGGTCAAAAGCCCAACCGCCAGTTCGTGGCCTTAGTAATCTTGGTCAGGACGCTGCAGCAATCATTGGTGGAGGACGTGTTTTCTTTCTCCTTGGTGGAAATTTTCGGAATCTCGGTAAGAAACGATAGCTTTGCTTCGACTTTTACGCTAGCCTAAATGTAACATTGATTAGACCTTCTGAGGTAATGATTAAGATTATAAGTCTGACTAGCTCGTTATGACCCTGGGAAAACTTTCCATTTGAGCTTCTCCCAGTATTGTGTATAGCAAATGACAGAGAGTTTAGCAATTTTTAATCCTTTACTTAAATTTTAGCATGATTTAATCTGTTTTGTTAGAAGTCCGCGATTTAGAGCCTTGTGAGGTTCGCCGTGGTCATCGGTCTCAGTGCATAAATTATCTTTGCCTTTGTTTTTAGCCTGTCAATATTGAATGTTTTAGCCTGCTTGTTCGTTTCTAGCATCTAACAGGGGGTACTCTTTAGAACGCACCTATAGTAGCACCGAATTGGGGCCTATAATGGTTGATAGTGGTTCCCTTAGTAATCATACAAAGTACTCTTAGTTTATACCCCGAGAGCACCCATTGTCAGCACCCGAGGTGCACCTAGTTAGCACCGATAGTGCACCTACGATAGAGTTAGATTATTCCAGTTTATACCCCGAGAGCATCCACTGTCAGCACCCGAGGTGCACCTAGTTAGCACCGATAGTGCACCTACGATAGAGTTAGATTATTCCAGTTTATACCCCGAGAGCACCCACTGTCAGCACCCGAGGTGCACCTAGTTAGCACCGATAGTGAACCTACGATAGAGTTGGATTATTCCAGTTTATACTCCGAGAGCACCCATTGTCAGCACCAGAGGTGCACCTCCGACAGAGTTAGATTGTTCCAGTTTATACCCCGAGAGCACCCATTGTCAGCACCCGAGGTTCACCTAGTTAGCACCGATAGTGCTACGATAGA